TCGCTTAATACGAGAGGGGTTACTCTCGACCTTCGACTTTAATCGAGAGGGGTTTACCTCCGACCTTCGTCTTTAACCGAGAGGGGTTTACCTCTACTTTGAGCTAGGAGTGTTGCCTAGTGAACGGGATTTACCGTTCGTCGTTGAGAGGGCTTTACCTTCTCCCGAGGGGGATTTACCGCTCGGTCTTCGACCTAGGAGTGCTTCCTAGGGAACGGGCTTACCGTTCGGCTTTGAGAGGGTTTTACCTCTGTTGAGCTAGGAGTGTTCCTAGTGAACGGAATTTACCGTTCGTCGTTGAGGGCTTTAACTCTCTCCCGAGGGGGATTTACCGCTCGGTCTTCGACCTAGGAGTGCTTCCTAGGGAACGGGCTTTACCGTTCGGCTTGGAGAGGGTTTTACCTCTGCTTTGAGCTAGGAGTGCTTGCCTAGTGAACGGAATTTACCGTTCGTCGTTGAGAGGGCTTTACTCTCTCCCGAGGGGGATTACCGCTCGGTCTTCGACCTAGGAGTGCTGCCTAGTGAAGGGCTTTACCGTTCGGCTTTGAGAGGGTTTTACCTCTGCTTGAGCTAGGAGTGCTTCTAGTGAACGGAATTTACCGTTCGTCGTTGGAGGGCTTTACCTCTTTCCCGAGGGGGATTTACCGCTCGGTCTTCGACCTAGGAGTGCTCTTCCTAGGGAACGGGCTTTACCGTTCGGTTGAGAGGGTTTACCTCTGCTTTGAGCTAGGAGTGCTGCCTAGTGAACGAAATTACGTTCGTCGTTTGAGAGGGCTTACCTCTCTCCGAGGGGATTTACCGCTCGGTCTTCGACCTAGGAGTGCTGCACGAGGGAACGGCTTTACCGTTCGGCTTTGAGAGGGTTTTACCTCTGCTTGAGCTAGGAGTGCTTCCTAGTGAACGGATCTTACCGTCGTCGTTGAGAGGGCTGTACTCTCTCCCGAGGGGGATTTACCAGCTCGGTCTGTCGGACCATAGGAGTGCTTCCTAGGGAACGGGCTTTACCGTTCGGCTTGGAGAGGGTTTTGCCTCTGCTTTAAGCTAGGAGTGCTGCCTAGTGAACGGAAATTTACCGTTCGTCGTTGAGAGGCTTTACCTCTCTCCCGAGGGGATTACCGCTCGGTCTTCGGCCCTAGGGGCTGCCTAGGGAACGGGCTTTACCGTTCGGCTTTTGAGAGGGTTTTACCTCTGCTTTGAGCTAGGAGGTGCTTTCGGTGAACGAACATTTACGTTCATCGTTGAGAGGGCGATTTACTCTCTTCCGAGGGGGGGATTTACCGCTCGGTCTTCGACTAGGAGTGCTTCCTAGGGACGGCTGTACCGTTGGTTTGAGGGGTGTTTACCTCTGTTGGCTGAATCTTGATCGACACTTGGTAACCGATGATCGAGCGTGAAGTGCTCGGTTTTATTCATGCACAAGAAAGTTTAAATAACGAAAGTTTAATTAATAAAAAGTCTAAATCAAAAATTTAAAGATGACCATTAAATAGAGATTTGGATGCTATTATAAGTTAAACTCCGCAAACCGATCGTTCACGATGACGAGCAGGACTGCGAACTATAATCTCGCCTGCGTTCGTTCTTCCGATACGCTCGTTCGGGACTTCTTCTTGTTCTTGTATGTAATTACGGAGGTGTCCTGCCCCGAATGAGACGTTCTATTTCGTTTTTTCAGCGTAATGCATTCTTCTGTGGTCGCCCCCGATTCTGATGGAAATGACAACCTCTTCCTTTCATCTGCGTATCTGGAGATGGCTTCGTTTGGGAGTGTGAGAAGTTCAGCGTTAGAGCTTCTTCAAGAACTTTTGCCCTAAGGTGGTTGAGGGGTGTATAGTGATTAAATTTAAATGTTCGGGAAAAGCTCCCGCTTTACCATTATTGCCGAACGGTCGTTACCGTCCTTCTCCCTCCACTTGCTCAGTTTTTGCTGGTCGCTTTCGTTGTGAAATTCCATGTCCTCATGCGATTGAATTCGGCTATCCGTTCTTGGAGTCCTCCATTGTTTTTGGCGGTCGTGCCTACAATTTCTCAGCAAAGTACCTGGTTTTGACCAGGGAAGGCAAATTGGGTTGATGATAAAAGAACTTGACTTACCTCTTTGGATCGTCGTGCAGTTTCCAATACCTTTTCATAAAGGCCTTCAAAGTTTCTCCCTTTTCCTGTTTAGTATTTACCAATTCCGCTGGCGTCCTCCTGATTACGATTGGAGGGTATTGCCTTTTAAAAAGGTTTTCCACAGTGGCGAAGCATCACTGTGTTTGGGGGAAGAGTGTTATACCACTCTAATGTTCGTCCTTGAGTGATAGAGGAAGAGAAAGGCTCTGCACATAACCGGATCACTGTCCGTGTAGAACACCATTGCATTGGGTGTGAAATCCTGAGATGATTGGTCGGGATTTGTCGAGCCATCATACTTATCCAATACAGGAGGGTTCCTTTCTGGCATTGGAGTTTGCATGATGACCGCAGTGAAAGGGAGCAGACTGGAGGGCCGATCGGTTCGTAAGGGGGATGGTTCCCTTATTCCCCGATCGTTCGGGTCAGTATGCCGAGATGGCTGCTGAGTACGACTTCCAGCGTTATCATTGTGTAGGTTGTTACCCCGATCGGCTGTAGACTCCGAGTGCTGCGCGGACTATTCGGCACGACCGCGCTCTGCTCTCAACATTGAAATATCTTCTGCGTGCCTTCGTTGCATCTCTTGCTGTGCGTGCGTATGTGCTTGTATGGTTCTGGCTTGTGCCTGTATTTGCGCCTGCATCTGAGCTATCAAATCTCTGGTCTGTTGTTCTTCCTCCATGCTCCTCGTGGTCACCATTTGGGTTTGCCGCTCGGCCCCACGGTGGGCGCCAAAAGAATGTATAATTTGAAAGAAAAATGTTATATTCTAAATTGTATATTTCAGAATACAAAATAAAAATAATCTTAAATTATACAATCTAAAATACAAAATAAAAATTATATTTTGGAATGTATAATTTAAAATATAAAATGAATATTTTAAAATATACCATGTCAACTAAAAAATGTAGTGTTTAACTTGAAATAAAAAATTTATATTTTGAGATTATACAATCTTTGATATAAGAAAAAAAACTTATGTTATAGATTCTGTAATTCGGTATTCAATTTTGCATTCCAGTAACTATTAGATTAAATAAATGGTGCAGATACACTGCTTGAAAGATATTGTTTTTCATTTTACTAGGCATGTATTAGTTGCACTTTCTTATATATTACAAGCACAAGTTCATTATTTGAGGAAAATTGTACATATGAAACCCAAATTCTGTATGAAGAAAAAATTTAATTTAGTTGGATTGTATATTTCATGTGAATATTGTAATAGAAAATGCACGGCTAGAAAAAAAAAATGTTGAGCGAGGTAGGTGAACGTGCAGCAACTCTGAAAAAGAAGAGGATGGGGTTGCGAAAGATGAAAGAATGGGTTTCTTCTTCTGCATCCCATTGTCTTCCTGTAACCTCAACTGCCCTTCTCATTTTGTTCCCACAACAAATAATACATTAAATAATTGAATAAATATAATTTTGAAATTTGATATACACATAAATAAAATTGGATTTAAAAATACGGTCACCACATACAACTTCACATTATCAAATTTCAAAATTCATATTTAAAATTTGGTACACAACTTCACATTACTGAATAATTTTGAAATTTGTTACACATAAATATAATCGGATTTTAAAATCTAGTAAACACATACAATTTTATGTATCTAGATTTTAAAATCCAATAAACACTCGTTAGATTCAAAAAGAGATATCACAATCTCATAATTGTTAGGAGAATATAACTCAAGCCTCTAGTAGTTAGGATTTTAAAATTCTCTTAATTTTGTTTGTATTTTACCTTCACATGATGTGTATAAATACATCACATCTTTTGTGTAAAGTTAAGGTGATACAACGCAATAATATTTAGTTTTAGTTTTCTCTCACTTTGTTTGGTTTCATTTTGTTCACACCATTCGGTTGTGCTCTGATACCGATCGGTCACGCCACTCAGTCGCTCTCTCACACTGATTGGTCTAGGTCGCGCAGCTCTCTCAAATCTTTCTCTCTAACTTTCTAACAGTGGTATCCAGAGCGTCGGGTTCAAATGCTTGCTTTTGAAATCACGTCAACATTCCGGTGGCTGGAATGAGTGATTGAAGCAACAAGGCAGTCAAGAGTTCAGTTCTTGAGCGAGAAAGAAGAGTTGAGTCATGGCTGATATTCCCACAACAAGTTTACCTGTTCTCACAGACAAGAACTAGAGCAGGTGGACTACGCAGATGAGGGTCTTGTTTCAGTTTCAAGACATCAACGACATTGTTGAAGAAAAGGGATATGAGCCTGATGATGGTGACTCAGAGGAGCAGAAGGCAGCATTCAGAAAGAAGGAAAATAAAGCACTGTTCATCATCCATCAGTGTGTGAATGACATGCACTTTGAGAAGATTCAAAATGCTGGAATAGCGAGAGAAGCCTGGAACATATTGGTGTGATGCCATGTTGGAGGTGAAAGGATCAAGAAGGTGAAACTTCAAACGCTGAGAAGGCAATATGAACTCATGCAGATGGACGACAATGATAAGGTAAGTGAGTATTTCAATAAGATTTTATCGATTACTAACCAAATTAAAGGGTGTGGTGAAGCCATCAGTGATCTCATGGTAATTGAGAATATTATCAGATCACTACCTCAAAGATTTGATTACATTGTCGTGGCAATTGAGGAGTCCAGAGATCTTGAAAAACTGAAGATTGAGGAACTTCAAAGTTCTTTGGAAGCGCATGAGATGAGAATGCTGGATAGAAACCCCGTTAGGAATGATGATCAAGCGTTGAAGGTACATCATTCCAGAAATGAAGGTAAGAAGAAATTCAAGAAATGGAAGGGGAAATCAGCAAAAGGGAAGTGGAAGAATGATCACAATGCCGATGACCAAGATGAGAAGTCTGATTCAGTGGAAGAAAATGGCAGATCTGAGAAACATATGAAGAAGAAAGACAAGAAAAACATTGAATGTTTTAATTGCCACAAACTGGGACATTATTCGTATGAATGTCTTTCTAGCAAAGGAAAGCAGAAGAAGAAGTATCAGAATAAGGAAGCATATCTAGCCTCGGAAGACTCAGACTCAGAACCTTTAACGTTAATAGTAACGACCACTGTTGAATCCGCACGGTCTCAGGTTAAGTCTTGGTACCTAGATTATGGTTGTTCCAATCATATGACATGTAATAAAGAATGACTAATAAACCTTGATGAAACAAAGAAAAGCAAAGTGAAATTTGCAGATGATAGTGCTCTGAAGGTTGAAAGAGTGGGAGATGTGATCATCAAACGGAAGAATGGATCACATGCTATCATCGCCAATGTGCTATTGGTCCCAACAATGAAGTGAAACCTACTCAGTATTAGACAATTGATAGATAAAGGGTACACGGTGATGATGGAGAATCATGACCGAGTTGAATTGTTCGACAACAAAAGGAAGTTGATCTTGACAAGCAAGATCTCAAAGAACCGAACGTTCCAAGTCAACCTGGATGTAGTATAGAATTTGCGATGTTTGACTATCGTGAAGGATGAAGAAAGCTGGAAGTGGAACCTATGGTTCGTCACCTGAACTTTAGAGATCTTCAGCAACTTGGAGAAAAGGCCTTGGTGATAGGTATACCGAATGACTCACTTCCTAATAATGCTTGTGAATCTTGTTAATAGGAAAACAGACCCAATGACCATTACAATCACAAGTGCATATGAGATCAAAAGAATGCCTAGAAGTTGTGCATTCGGATTTATGTGGACCGTTTGGTGTGCCCTCATTGGCTGGAAACAGGTACTTTCTCACGTTTGTTGATGAATACAGTAGGATGATATGGGTATACATCATCAAGATGAAGACTGAAGCTTTATAAGTGTTCAAGAAGTTTAAAGCCTGTGTAGAATGAGAAAGTGGAAAGTAGGTAAAAGTCCTCAGAACTGATAGAGGAGGAGAATACACTTCACATGCATTCGAAGAATACTGCCAGAGTAGTGGAATTGCACATTAGGTGACAGCGCCGTACACACCCCAACATAATGGACTAGCGGTGAAACCTCATATATCACTAGGAGCAATGTTGTTTCAGCAACAGCTCAGAGGCCACGCAGACAAACTACGATACCACCAAGGTTTGCAGATTATTAAATTTACTCTAATGCAGGAATTAATGATGAGGGAGATCTTGTCCACATAGCATTGATGGTCGAGGCAGAACCAGTGAACGAAGAAGAGGTTCTACAGCAACCTGTTTGAAAGAATGTTATGATAGAAGAGCTCAGATCCATAGAAAAGAATGAAACGTGGAGACTGGTTAATCTTCCAGCTGGAAAGCACTGCATTGGGGTAAAGTGGATCTTCAAAAGGAAGATGAATCCGGACGGCACAATCTCAAAACACAAGGCGAGACTTGTGGCTAAAGGGTTTCTTTAAGGGCGAGGAGTAGACTTTGATGAGGTTTTCGCACCAGTTACAAGGTTGGAGACCGTTTGGTTAGTGTAGCAGTGGCCTGCACAAGGGAATGACCATTGTTTCAACTTGATGTCAAATCAACATTCTTACACGAACCCTTGGAGGAGGAAATTTACGTTCAGCAGCCTCTAAGTTTTAATGAAAAAGGTAAGGAGCATAAGGTGTATAGACTCTAAAAGGCCCTGTACGGCTTAAGACAAGCACCGAGAGCTTGAAACAAGAGAATTGATGCCTTCTTCATCAAACACAGTTTTGAAAGATGTGTTGTAGAACATGGATTGTACGTGAAAGGTAGTCCAGGTAAAGACCTAATGATAGTCTATTTATATGTTGATGATCTATTGATAACAGGATCAAACATGGAAGAGATAGATGAGTTCAAGTGGATGATGGAAGCCGAGTTCGAGATGACCGACCTTGGAAAGCTAAAATACTTTCTGGGAATGGAGTTTACTCAAATTGCTGTCGTCTTGTCATGCATCAGCAGAAGTATGTGGGAGAGCTTCTCAAACGATTTAAAATGACTTCATGCAACTCGGTTAAAAGTCCTTTAGAGGTCAACGCCAAGTTAAGAAAAGATGAGGCCGAAGAGGAGGTGAATGAGACAACGTAAAAGCAGATAGTTGGATCACTACGGTTTATGTGCAACAACAGACCTGATTTGGTGTTCAGCGTTTGACTGATCAGCAGATTCATGAGTCAACCAAAGAAGAGTCACATGCTTGCTGCCAAACGAATGAGGTATATCAAAGGGACATCCGATTATGGAATATTGTTTCAAGTTGGAAGACAAAAAGATGAGTTGAAGCTCGTTGGTTATGCTGACTCAGACTATGGTGGGGATCTAGTGGAAAGGAAAAGTACGTCTGGGTACATCTTCTTCATAAATGAAGCACCTATCTCATGGTGCTCCAAAAAGCAACCGGTTGTTGCCTTGTCAAGCTATGAAGTTGAATACATAGCTCAATGTTATGCCGCATGCAAAGGAGTTTGGCTTATGGAACTATTGAAGGAATTAAAGTTACTTAGGGAGAGTCCAATACAATTGAGAATGGATAACACATCTGCCATAAATTTAGCAAGACCCTGTAAGTCATGGCAGGAATAAACACATAGAGTGAAGTATCACTTCTTGAGGGACATGGTGAACAAAGGGAAGATAGAGTTAACCTACTGCAAGACCGAACGACAGTGGGCAGATCTTTTCACAAAAGCATTGAAGATATTTGAGAAAGGAGATCGGGGTTATATCTCTTAAGGCTTGAATTAAGGGAAAGTGTTAGGAAAATATAACTCAAGCTTTCGATAGTTAGGATTTGTAAATTCTGTTAATTATGTTTGTATTTTACCTTCACATGATGTGTATAAATACATCACACCTCTTGTGTAAACTTAAGGTGATAAAACACAATAATATTTAGTTTTAGTTTTCTCTCACTTTGTTTGGTTTCATTTCGTTCACACCGTCTGGTTGTGCTCTGATACCGATCGGTCACGCCACTCGGTTGCTCTCTCACACCGATCGGTCTAGGTCGCGCAACTCTCTCAAATCTTTCTCTCTACCTTTCTAACAATAATCATACAATCTGATATCAAAATCTGAGATACAAAACTTAACACCTTTATATGTTCGCTTGAGGTGGGTTCTCTGTTGTAGTTTTTTTAGTTTGTTTCTGTCCTCCGACACCAACCTTGATCACTAGTTCTTGATCTAATGGGTGAGCCAAACTAACATACATGAAGGGCATGGAGCTTGGCATGTTAAGGGGAGCCAAACACTTTTGTCATCACCATCTTTGCGTCTCTTATCTCTATTCATCATCACCTTGTTTCACATTAATGCTCATCTTACAACTGTGCATTTTATTGTGGCAACACTATGCATTTTATTGATAACATGTATACGTAGTTAAGCCAAGCATGGATTCCTGGAGCACCCCATACTAGCTTAGTGATTTTATATAAGACTTAAGATTAACTATATATATATATATATATATATTATGGTTAAAGATATGTTATGAAAAATTTATTATGTAAACTATAAGTAATATTTTAATATGTTGAAAAAATAAATTAGAATATTGAAATTTAAGAAAAAGTAACCGTGAGAAGTTATATGGGGCATGATCCCCATTTATAATCATGTACAATTTTTTTCTATTCATCCCTATAAGAGAAAATTAAGAAAAAACTTAAGGTGTTCTACAATTGAAAAATCAAATAATAGTTAATCTACATTATTTTTAATGATCAATTAAGTACGCTTATTATTTTGAGAAATTTAAGAATTTCTCTGTCAAAAAAGGTTTATTGTTTATTATTTATTCATAAATGATTCTTAATCTAACGTGACTAACTTCAAAAGCTCCTTCAAAATGGATTTTTCATGTTAAAAAACATCTGGAAGAGCACAATGTTGCAAGTGCCCCATGCAGTTATAATCCACCATGCAACCATGCTTCCAAGTGAATTTAAAAGCTCGCGGTGATGGTAGTTGTCGAAGGTCATCCGTGGGTGTTGGAACATGCATGACCACCAATCTGGATCCATCACTTCCTCAGTTAATGACTAATTTTGGTGCCCTATGATTAATTATGTTAAGAAGTGGAGTTTAAGTCTAACTCCTCACAAAATTGGCTAGTAAGGTGAAGTTTACCCCACTTATATTCTCAATAATTAATCAAGTATGCTCATTATTCTAAGGATTTTAAGAATTACTCTATTAAAAAAGGTTTATTGTTTATTATTTATTTATAAATTGTTCTTAATCTAATGTCATTGACTTCAACACCTCCATAATGGATTTTCCATGTTAGAAAAACATTCAAAGGAACATAATGCTCTAAGATCCTTGTGCAACCATGCTCTACGAAACAACTATGCTTCAAGTGAATTTAAAAGCTTGTGGCGGTGGTAGCTTTTGAAAGTCCTATGTGGTTGTTGGAACACGTATGGCCATTAATCTGGATCCATCACTTCCTGAGTGAGTGACTAATTTTGGTGCCCCATGATAAATTATGTTAAGAAGTGGACTTTAAACCTAACTTAATCTCACAAAACTAGTTAGTAAGGTGAGGTTTTCACCGACTTATATACTCTAAATTGACCTTATCTCCAGTCGGTGTGAAACTTCCAACAACATATAACATGTTTTTAATGTTACTAATGGTGCTAGAACGGTGTGTGAGTGAGGTCATCTAAATTCTATTATGCTATTGAGGATGAATGATGAATGAAGATGACTAATGGAGGTTGGGCAATGGGGGTTCTAAAGCATGATATTGAGGGAGACCATGAGGAAGAAAACATTATGAGTGAGAGGATCTGATTTTTGCCTCTGTAATGGGTGTGAATGTGAGCAATTGAAATATTGAGAGATGGTAAGGAAACCTGAAGGTTAGCTCCCCTATTACATGTGTTGGTTACAAGTAGTTTAGACTATATTTCTAAACGAGAGGATTTGAATACAATACAATGCAGTCTAAACACTCACAAGTGTTTTTCTCTTCTTTCTTACAGTAGTAAGATATTTGACAATGAAGCTCGACAATATCTCTTTCTCTTTTTCTCTTCTCTTTTCTTCAACTCAGATGTATTCTTTTTCTTGAACTCTCTTTTTCTCTTCAAGATGGATATATCGTTGTAAGTTCTTCTTTCTTAAAATTTTCTCTTAAGTTATTCTCTAGATTTTCTTCTTGAGAGATCTTTTATTTACATACTTCATAAATATTTGTTCGTTAGACTGAGTTTGTAGTTTACGTGACGTAAACTGAAACAAGAAATTTGACAAATTCTTTTGATGAGTCTAACTATCGTATTGGAGAATCTATGTATAACCTATATTAAATAGAATTTTGTTATCCGATGCACAACTCGAATCAAATCGAATTTTATAATCGGGTGCATAATCAAAAACAAATTTTGTAATATGGTCCACAATCAAACTAAATTTCATAATCTCGTGGAGGATAAACTCAGATTTTGTAATGTGGTGTACGGCCTGAATTATGAAATGTGATTTAAGATTCCACGAATCAAACTACAGTCTGTAATCCGATTCAAAAATGAATTCTGTAATCTGGAAATTATTTATTGGAGATGGAAGCTTATTATGTAATCTGCAACGCTGTCCGAATACACCGACACTGTCTGAAATCACCCATCTTCTTCATTTTCTCCAACATTCATCCTGCAACCCGTCATATAAACTTCACCAACACTCTCATTTTTCACCACTCCATCACCACCATCTTTAGACTGCACCAAGGACATACGCATCATGCACACCACCGCTCTAGCACTTCTCCAACACCATCGTCATCCTCATCTTTCAACACCATACGAACCATTTCTTCATTAAGAATAAATTGGACATTTCATTAACTCTATGAGGTGTAAATTGGAATCACGGAGGTGCAGGAAAATTATCCCTGATTGAGTTGCTGATCCTTCGGCCCAGTTAAATTTTACTTTTTTAATTGTTATTTTTATTATCAACCCAAAAGTATATTTTTCAAGTTAATAACTAATCTTATAAAACTATGTTTTACATTACCGTATCAATAAGCAGAGCGGCAATAAAAATCCCCTTCCAGAAATAAGTATTACATTACTATAAACAATTTCATATTTTTGTAATATATTTTTATAAATTTCTATAATTTTTTTTAAAAAAAGTGTATTAATATTTTAAAATCCTATCAAATATCTATAAAAGAGTCTCATGCAATATAAACAAATGTTATAGTGATATATGATATTATATAGATTGATTGATTAAAGAACTACTCATATATTTTATTTCAATTAAAATATGTTCTTATAATGACACGCTAGTATACAACAAAAGATGAAAGCACATAGGAAAATATAGAAAGTCTAAAAGACGTAAAAGTTGGTAAAGTCTAATATGAAACACTAATGCTAATTAATTTTTATTACTTGTATCTATTGGTATAGGTTCATCATATTAGATCATCAAATTGGCAAGAAATTAATTGATGCGGATTAAATTTACTTCATTATTGTTAATTTTTAACAAGCATACCAAATTGTTCAAACAGTAATCGATAAGATTGGATATTGTCTTCTAAAAAACTCGTGTAATACCAAATAATCATACAATTAATAACTATTCTAGACTAATTAAAAAATAGTTCTATGATTTGAAATTATGTGAAATAAAGTAAATTAATTATAAATATACAATAGAGATGAACTTTGAAAGTTAAAGACACTTAGGAATGAAAAAATATTAGAAATTGTATGGATATGGATTGATATTATTTGGGTTATATTTCACCGACTTCACTCATGCATATAAAAACTCACATCCTTTCCATCAATATACTAATGTCAACCCAGAAGTTTACTTAAGCCCTGATCGTGCAAAAGAATGAGCATAAGTTTTCTTATTACAAGTCAATCCCTTGATATGCAAAATCTCATTGTCTCATGATTGGGCTAAAACCTTCGAGTATAGACGAATTCCAACTATGAGTAAGGGCGAGTTCTAACTAAAAAATCTCTTCTTATCAAGCTAAAACCTTATGGTAAGGGCGAGTTCCAACTAAAGAACCCCTTTCAAAATTTCATTAGATAAAAGCAAGTTTCAAAACCTCTAACTCATACAAATTACATCAAAAGATACTACGTAAATTTATATATATATATATATATATATATATATATATATATATATATATATATATATATATATATATATATATATATAATATGAATAATTACATAAAATTAATTTTATTCAAATTTAAATTCGAATGATTTGGGTGTTACGTGTTAATCAATATATGAAAACTACAATTATCCGTTTTAATTTTATTTCCGTATTGGTACGGATGCATCAAATTTAAATCCAACACTATTGAGATGCTCAGATAAATTTATGATGGACCATGCTTCTGGTAAGTGCACATAAAACCAAACACATTTACACAATTATAAATTCCATATCACTTCAAAATTATGGTTGATTTGATAACACCAACACATGAGATGTCATCATTAATAAAAACAAATATTATTTGAGAAATATATCTGAACGTTTTTTTTTTCATATTTACGTTTAAAAGCCATCTAAATCTA